GATTTACCAAAGAGCATTTCACCAATCGTTGATGATGAGGGTTTGTTGTTCAATGGTTTTAGAATAAGATTTAGTGGAAATTCACCACAATTCAAAATCGACACAAAAGACTTTATATTTACATTAACGAGAGGATTAATAGATTTAATGAATGGCGAGGATGTTGAAATTGCCGATTACAAGGATTTAGTAGCATACTCAAAATTTCTACATGCGATCAGAAAGTCAGGACCCGAAACAAGAAGATTGAAAGAAGTTGATTTATATATAACAAAAGTTATTGAGCAGGATGAAGAGGAGGTAGATGATTATACAGAAGAGTATCCACCAAACATACAAGAAATAGACGAATTCGATGATATGGTGGCATCTGGGCAAGGTATAACGTTTTTATCCGACAACAATAAAGAATTGCTTAATAGATTAGAAATAATATTAGCGGCCATGAAAGAAGGTCATCGATCGGACAGACAATACAACGAAGTCAATGGCATATTAAAACGACTTTTGGAGAAAGAAATCATCACTAAAAAAGACTATATAAACGTCATTAAAAATGTCCAATAAAGAACAATTGTTCGTTATCACCTCGAATAAACCAGACATCAAATTGTCTCTAGACTACGAGTATGAACTCGATCGCAATAAACAGTACGAACTGGGATTAAAGTATTTCTCCGTTTACAATTCCATTAGAAACATCAACGAAAAAAATAATCAACTAAAAATATCGACGGATAACGGAGTTACGTTCGAAACCATAAGCTTACTACCGGGGAGCTACGAATACGTAGCCATCAACGAATACCTATCCGAATAAGCAGGAAGCGTGAACGGTAAAAACAATATCGAATTCGAAGGTAATTTGAATCTGAACAAAATAAAACTGATCTTGAGAAATAACAGTCAAGTTGATTTCAACGCAGAAAATTCGTTGAATGCGTTACTAGGGTTCGATAAACGAATATACGAGCAATCGACATTGGCGCCGCACAAGGCCAACATCGAGAACGATATCGATGTGATCAACATTCACTGTAATTTGATCAACTGTGGATTTTTCAACAAGCACAAACGCCAAATCATATACAGCATACCGACTTTTACGGAGCCGATCGGATACAGAATTATAGAGAAATCGTTTCAAACGACCTATTTACCAGTCAATTCTTTCATGATCAAAGATATAAATCTGGAAATCAAAGACGGTAAAAACCGGTTCATAGACTTTGGCAACGAAGAAATTGTCATTCAACTTCATTTAAAACAATCTTCATTCTCTTCTTGATTAGAAAGATAATCGAAATCATCAAATTCATAGTTTTCGTCAAAACTATACTCATCTTTGTCGTTGTAAGGATACATAATTCCTTCACTGTTTGGTGGTTTTCTTTTAACATTATTCAAATAACTTCTAAAAACTTTAGTTTGTTTATCATTTGGAATAACTACTCCATTGGTGAAACTTTTTTCCCATGGTTTATTAAATTCGTTCGACACATCATGTCCGCTTGCTAACTGAACGTAATCTTCTACACTTATCTTATCATTAGAATAACCTTTAAACGTTTTCTTTTCTTTTAAGACACCATCAGAAGTCAAAACGATGTTGTATTTGACTTTTGGTGCTAAATATAAACCAAATATAATTCCACCGTCACCGTAATCGTTTTTACCTTTGCAATAGTCTTTTTTGGAGACCAAACCAGCTCTGTTTAGTTTTTTCCAATTGTTGGATGAAATGTACAAACTATCGGTGTCGGTATAGTATATTTCGGGTTTATAAAATCCATTTATGACGTGAATGAAATTGTTCATTATTTTTTTACTGTGAGATAGAACGAATGATCCCAAATGACTAGGTGTTAGTCGTGTAGATTTACTGTCTTCGGTAGTAATCTCTTTTTCTTCAATTTCTGTTCCAACAATATATTGAGTATCATTAATTTTTTCATAGGTTTTAACGCGTGAATCAAAGTTGCTTCATTCCATAAATGTCTAGTTGTGAATATATCTTTCTGAATTGATTTTTTTTTTTTTTTTTTTTTTTTATTGCCCTATAATACATAATAAATACATTTTAGAATTCATACATTACATAGTTATTTTACAAATAGTATAAACATAAATATATAATCATAATAACAATAGAAAACAGATATATGGCAGGGATGGCTTAAATATAAATATTTAATTAATTTGCTTTAATATGTTAATAATTCATTAATGTAAGAGGTCTGTTATATGAAATTAAGTGAATAAAAATCATGATAAAAAGGACCATTTCTGATTAAAGAAATCACTGTTGTTGAGAACCTTTTCTGTACTAGCTATACTCCCCAAAAAGGTGTTGTATTTTATAATATTTATGCTAGAGTTCGTTATTTTAGTTTTATATATGAAATATTTAGTCAGTATTATCACATGATTTATAAAATGCCACTGAGCAGTGGACATCAAAGTATCCTTATTAGGAATTCCAAATATTTTGACATATGTTGTTAAATTAACTTTAATATCTTTATTCGATAATTTTTCTGATAGTACGTTCCATAGTATTTGTGATCTGTTACAAAACAAGAAAATATGTTCAATCGATTCAATGCTATCACTGCAGAAATCACACAGGGTACTACTTACTTTACCAATTTTACATAATTTTTCATTTGTAAATATGATACGATGTCGAAATTTAAATTCAAAATCTCTGATTTCTATGTTACAGACAGTTATTTTAAGTTGATCGAAAATTTGTTCCAGTTCTTTTTCAGATATATCAACATCTAAAAATCTCTCCCAATTTTGAATTCCAGTAGGTATAATATAACGTTTATTGATTAGGTAATCATATACATTTTTTGATTTAATTGTATCTATATTATGTTTGTACAGTTTGATAAGGTTCTCGTTTAAAACATCTATAACTGGAATGTTATTAAAGCAAAATTCTTTTTTATTCAAATTTGGAAATGTTTTGCTTATTGCTTTCTTAATACCTGAAAAATCTAAAGTTTCATTCAATATACAATTTTCAATGTTGTACACGTCTTGAACAAACATAAAACCAGTTTGGAATTAAAAACTATTTTATTATCAATTCTAATATCATCATTATTCCATACTATTTGCAATTCTGTTTCATTCAATTCTGTAATATGTTTAGTATATATCGAGTACCATTTATGGAAAATATCATTATAAAATTTACTTCCTATGTCTAAAGATTCTGGATAGTTGCAAAATGGGAGTAGATTACCATTATAACGCGAGCAAAAGTATTTGTAAGGGATCAACCATGTTTGGTTTTCGGAATTTATAATTTTCTTAATCCAGAAGATACAGTTACATTTGTAGAATTCATATACATTTATCATTTTTAGACCACCAGCTTTGAAATCTTGTACTATAACGTCTCTTTTGATCTTATCTGGACCATTCCAAAGAAATTTATATATAAGTTTATTTAATTCGTCTAAAATGTTTTTGGGGCAGTATATTGATAATGCCGGGAAGAAAATTTTAGGGATGATAAAGGTTTTTACTACTTGTATTTTACCAGAAAGATTAAGTTGATGCATATTCCACAAACAAATTATGGAATTAATTTCGTTAAGTTTATCAAGAAAGTTCAACTTTGTCATAGCGTCACAAATGATGGAGAAATGTATGCCTAGTATCTTTAATGCATTTTCACAGATTTTTACTCCGAGGGTTTTCATACAATCTTTGAAACCGTTATTGTTAATGTTCAAATTTATGGCCTCGGTTTTACTAATATTTATCTTCAGACCAGAAATTAGGCTAAATAGTTTCAAAACCTCGAGCAAGTGACGGGCGGAGGAAAAATCCTTTAAAAATGCAGTTAGATCGTCGGCATAGCTAATTACTTTTATCGATTCCTTTCCAAAGTTAATGCCATGTATATCATTATCATCACGTATATTTTGAAGCAGTATTTCTATAACTAAATTAAACAAATTAGAGGACATTGGATCTCCCTGTCTGACTCCATTTAAGACTTCAAATTGTTTCGTTGTGAATTTGTTGTTAATTACTGAACACTGGATGTCCTTATACAGAATTTTTATCCATCTTACAAAATTTTGACCGAAACCGTATCTTTCTAATGAATCAAAAATAAAGCAGTGCTGAATACTATCAAAAGCTTTTTGAAAATCGATGGGCAAAAGGAAGCCAATGATCCGTTTCTGTCTTGCAAGTTCAAAACAATCATCTATAATTCTAATATTGTCTTGGATGTGACGATTTGGAACAAAGGCAGCTTGATTTGGATGTATAAGTTTGTTTAGGAAAGGTTTTAATCTGTTAGCCAGAACTTTGCTTATAATTTTAGTGTCTAAGTTAACAAGTGTAATTGGCCTCCAATTATTAAGTAACGATTTATCTTTATTTTCTTTTGGTATTAATTTAATAATCGATTGGCGTTGACTTGTTGATAATGAGTTATTTTCAAAACTGTAATTGATTGAACTTATTAACAGTGGTCGAATCAATGGCCAGAAAGCTTTATAGAATTCAGAAGTCAAGCCATCATTTCCCGGGGATTTATTTGTCTTAAATGATTTAATTGCGTTCTCTATTTCACATGCATTTATTTCATGTTCCAAATTATCACTTTCGATTTCTTCTAGGGTATATAACTGGATAGATTGCTTCGTAAAGGCTAAGTATTTAGAGGACATAGTTTTATTGGATGAATAAAGGCATTGATAGAAATTAAATATTTCATCATTTATTTCATGAGGGTTATACGTATAACTGCCGTCATGTCTTAAAAGTTTTTGTATAGTTGTTTTTGAGTTATTACGTCTTTCAAGACTTAAGAACAATTTGCTGTTTTTTTCACCTTCAAGATACCAATGCTGTTTTGATCGAATTCGAGCAGCATTTGATTCTTCTGTATATATGTTATCCAGTTTATTTTTAATATAAGAATGATTAAGATAATTTTTTTCAGATTCATTTTGATCCGTTATATTACTAAGCTTAAGATCGGTTGCTATTAATTCGTTCAACAGATAATCCTTCAATTTACGTTTAATTCTTTGTTTACGTTTGCTGTATTTTATTGAAATAATTTTGATTTTGTATTTGATATAATCCCATAAACCGTTTTTATCAGACGAATCGTGAAATTCATCTTTCCAAAGCGGTATGGATTCGTTAATTAAGCTTAAATAATTCTTATCTTGAATTAAGGTGGAGTTAAATATCCAGAGACCCGGACCATGATTATAATTTACAAAAACTAGGTCAAGGATTATTGATGAGTGATCAGAAAGGAAAACGGGATAAACGTCCGATTTCTTAACAAAGTCTTGAATATCTTCTGAAATAAGCCAATAATCGAGCCTACTTTGAATTACGGGCTTATTTCTTCGCCATGTATATTTTTTGACGTCTGGGTGCAAATGTCTAAAAATATCTATAAGATTAAAATTGTTTATGATATTGATAATTTCTTGTTTTCCTTGAGTTTTTGGTTTGTAGTTTCCACCATACCTATCGAGATTTTCATCAAGAATGTTATTGAAATCGCCACCAAGAATAAAAATACAGCTATCAAGTGTATTTTGTAATTTAATTAACTCATTTGAAACCTTTTCGTAGTAAACTTTTTGATCGCCGTTAGGGATAGGGCTATAAATATTCACTAGGATTAACGTATAATTTAAAAATTCGGTAACTAATATCAAATAATAGCCAAAATCATCAGAAATTTTCTTATTCAGTATTAAATCGCATCGTGTAAGAATAGCAGTTCCTGATGAGTTGGTTTGCCCATGTGAAAAATATATATTTGATCCCCATTCCCTTGCCCAAACAGATTCATCGCTTAAACAACTGTGAGTTTCTTGAAGGAATATAATTTTTTGCTTTTGATTTTTAAGCCATCTAAATATTTTGTCCCTTTTGGGTTTATCTCTGAGACCTCTTACATTCAAAGATAGTAGACCTATATCAGTCATTACAGTAACAAATTATCTCTGGCATATTACATAAAAAATTCAGATTTTGTTCGAAAATTGCAATATTAACTAAAAGAGACCTAACGTATATATTTATGTGATAAATAATTTCATAAGAACAAAGTGATATAAATAATTGAAAAACGAGCAGAAGCAAATAATTCTGCCGTTGCATGCTGGTATTGAACGCATATGGCGTCCAGGTTGCCTGAAGGTTTGACAAAAATAAAATAAAAAAAATAAAAATGTGCGGAAAACAAGAGAATATAGATATATAATGCAAAAAAAGAAAACAGTAAAAATGAACATGGTTAAGTTTTGAGGAACGTTATCTAATCACTTATTCAATGTCATTTCACTCAGTTATCTCACATACTATTCACTGATTGGAGAAGATGTCGCTTTATAGGTTTTGAAAGCAGTTCATGTATTACTCAATACTGAGAACTGAGATGTTCTTATAATTGCAAATAAAGAAACTTTAAAGTGGCTTTAAAATTTCTCAAAATAAAGCACATACTTACAATAGTTAGTTTTAATTTAAATTTAGTCACTGGGAGCGTGTTTGATTTTAGATTCAAAGTCATCAAATAAGTCTATCTTCACTTTATGTCGTCCATCTGTTTTAGCATAAACATGACAGTTGTAATACCAAGCAGACGCTATATAAGATTGAGTTTTAAGATGCTTAATCAGGTCCATATTCTTCTTTGTCACGTCATGATAAACTGGAATATCCGAGTTGAAAAACGATTTCCGATATTTCATAATATTCTCTTTAATCTCAGTGTTTTTGACTTTTAGAATGATAGGTTTTGGTTTGTTTGCATATTTTGATTGAAGGGGGTGAATAGCTATAATGTCAGATTTGTTTAATTTAAATTCATTGTTAGAAACGTCTTTGATAATTTCAATAATTTTATCCGCTAAACACATATTTTCACCACACTTTATATTCAGAAACTTCAGATTAGTTTTTCGTGAATACTGTTCGTTGTAATTGCTTATTCTCAATGATTCTTTTACACCTTCATTGCAATCATAAAGTTTAAAGTTTAAATCACTCACTTGTTTCTTTAATTGTTCATTTTCCTTAATAAGGACATTATTTTGCGAAGCTATTTTCTCGAGTTTGTCTTCCAGTTTGTCTTCGATTTTCTGGAATTCTATGGTGATTCCTTTTCGAATTTGATGAAGTACGCTTTCTGTTATCTTTCCTATCATATCCGACATGTCATCTTTTGTCATCATGGAGTTCAGTTTTTCTGATAGTAGAGCATGTGTTTCAAGTAAGTTTTGAACATCAGCTTCCAGGTTTCCATTTTCTGATTTATTAGAGCCTTCTCTTTGTCGTTTTTGCGGGCGGTTGTTTGTCGATATTTTTGTTGGTATTTTGGAGCCTCCCTTTTCAGTTGACATGTTGATTGTTTATTTGGATAGAGCAGGTCAGGTAAAATGTTGTCACTGACAGCTTGTCACCCCTTTGATCTTGATCTATATTTAGTATCAATCTACTGTCTTGGGTGTTAAAACATACAAATGTCTAAAAAGCTGTAGTATTCACATTTTTACACTGCAGTTTTCAATTATATATTTTCCTTGCTTAAGATATATCCTCTCATCCTATTAAATACGTTTTCACATTTATATATTTGAAGTTATTTGGAAGAAACTTCAGACAACCTGCAGACAACTTTCACCCGTCAGCCATCTTCTTTGTAATTGATTTACCATACAAGGAATTACCTAATAATTTCATGCAACTACTACCCACGATATTACCTTCTCGTTTATATTTATTTCTTAAATCTCTCAAAATTAAAATATATCTCTATAGGGTGGAGTTTTAAAATTTTCTTCGTAAACTATACCATCTAATATTGTGGGATAGTCAAACCACACTGTTGAAATAGCTGTTCTAGGACTGATTTTTGTTTATTGAAGAGTTTTACAAATTCTTTTTCTTCTTCTGGTAGAAACGGTCTTCCACTTTCCGCTCTCGGATATGCACTGTCTAAATCCGACATGGCGGAAGCGCATAAACCGTTAGCATCAAATGCCATTAGTTTAGTACATTCCATTTTTTTTAAGTCTCGAATGAACTTCCGTTTTGTCTTTTGTGCTTGTGCTGTATTCTTTGAATAAATCAATTATGTTATTACTTTCTGTTTGTGAAATATATTCCTTTAATACGTTACAAATTTCATCCATTTTGTTCGTTTCAAATGATTTTCTATTTGCCGAAACTCTTTCTCCTTTAATAGATCGTCTGATAAAATTTCTTATAAAAGGTTTAATAAACTTTTTCTATATTTTCTTTTTCGGTATGTTTCGCAACCATTCTAGTAGTTTTATACCATTCTTCTTCCACCATTTCTTTATCGTAATGATATAAATAATACGAACCCTTTAAAGATAAAGATGGAGCCGTTAGATTATTGGACATATTCTGGTTTACAACTTCTTTCGTGACTTGGTTGTATTTTATCACACAAGCTCCCAAACAGAGAGTGTCTCTCTTGGCGTAAGGTTCCCATTGGTGTCTCAATTCCTCACAGTTGTCTTGCGTGTATTTAGCGATATCTACGTCGGAAATCTTTCTCAAATTCGCGGGAAGATTGGAAGAATTTCCTCATGCAGCGTGTTGATAGGAACACGTGTAATTAATATGTTGTAAATAATTACCCTTTATTTCTTTCTTGTCTTTTCCATTTTTTCTTTAAATCTTCATCCGTGTATGGATTAGATAAAGGAAAAGATAGAATTCCTCTGGGTGTTTTTAAAGGGCAATGCGTTAGTTTTTTTGTATTTTTAAGCACGATCCAGTTGTCGAAACCACTGCCGTTGTGAGAAATTAATGTTAATCTCTTTCTATCATATTGACCTAAATATTTCAACATTTGATCGATGCAATCTGTACCTACAAATATTTCTACTATATTAGTCATGAGTTTGTTGTAAAATTCTTCTGGAATGGGATCTGACGGCTTTAAATCTGGAAAGAGATTATTTATTCTGTTTAACATTTTCCTTAGTTTTTGTAAATTAATTAAAGTGCAGGCATAAGGAATTGCTCTTCGCGTGTCTTTTTCTGAATACGTTTCGCAATCCCATGCGAATAACGCATCATCACTCATACTTGAAAGCACGTTTAGTTTGAGAGGTGAAACCTGTGTTACTGCGTTATCGTCTCTACACGTTTTCCACACCTGTAACCGTAATTGTCTTCTATTAGTTGAATTCCCAAACTTTTTTGGCTTCTTCTAATCAGACAGAAATGCGAGTTGTGTAAGTAAAAAACCCAATCTAATTCATCGTGAACGTCTCTGGGGTGAAAATGTCTGTTTTTGGGATTATAAATTTGAAACGAAGTGTTAAATTTCTTGTTGAATTCCTTCATTCTAGCACAAGTCATCACTCCTTTTCTATTTGCTTTTGAAAACCCGTTGATGTATTCTTGAAATTTACACGTTAAATCTTTGTTCAAAACACGATTGACGCATTTGATAAAACAATGACCATCTGTAGGTATGAAACAATTTTCGCCTTCGTATTCATTTATTCCTCTACCAACTCTCGACCTTTTGATTTCTTGGAAATTGTCTTTCATCAAAATTATTTTTCCTGTAAAATACCAATCGGAAGCATCAGATTTTTTGTCCATATTTGAAAAGATATTGTGAAAAGTTTTGGCATTGAAACCGAGGAGCGACATGTATTGTCTGTGATTCCCTTCCTCGACTATCTCTCCATCTATTTTAATTTGTCCTTTGAATGTTTTGAATTTATCAGAGATAGCCTTGATAACATCGGAAAATAGGGCCGTTTTCTATCAATGTTTCATCGTGTTCGATTTTATTCATATTTTTTTAAGTATATATTTTTGATTATTTCTTTATTTTGACCGCTGATATTTCTGTATGGAATTTGTCCAAAATTTCATTGAATTCTTTTAATTCTTCAACTGTTATGTTCTTGTTTTCTCTCGATCTTTCGAAAAAGATGTACAATTGATTAAGATACATATTCAAGATATCCGTTTTCTTTTTATAATGAGCTTTCTTTTTGCTCGTGAAACCTAAAGTGATGAGACCGCAAGAGGTCGTTTGAACGGCTGTTAATGCAGCCAATATGGTTGGGACGATGACCGGAAGCATTAATCCACCAGTCACGGCCGTTGCCACCGTTACTCCTACCGTTAGAACTGTGCTCGCTGTTTTGAAAAAAGAATCGATTCTACTCCATGTATTGCACTGTCTCAACTTTGTTTGTCTATCATGTATTGTTGTCTGCTTTCGAGTCCCATTTTTTAAGTCACTTAATTAAGTGAATTTCCGATAAATGGAACCACGGAATATCGTATAGAGCGAACTTGTTTGGCCTAGCATTATTATATTTGCGGGTATTAAAAGTAAAAACATTTACGCGTACTAATGACATTTCTTTTTTCGTATGGTCCTCTTTAAGATGATAGGAATATTTCATTTTTTCTTTTTCGATGTTTATCTTAGCTCTAGAAATAAAACCACCACCTTCAAGGATGGAGTCGGAACCTTCGGCAAACGATAAATGTACTATAAACTCTCTTTCTTGTTGACTTTTATGAACATCGATCGAGGTGTATTTTCCATCGTAATCAAAATACAGATTTACGTATTCAAAGTCTGTTGTTCGTAAAAACTCGTGACTGCTCGATTCTATTGGTCCGGGTACGTATACGGGTATTATAAGTGATGGTGGAATTTTGACAATGTTGGTTAATGGTGGATTTTCCGTCTCCAATATCATATCCAAATCTTTGATTCCAATGATATATCCTTATCATTTTCTACTTCCATTTTAAAGGTGTCTACATATTTACCATTTTTCGTTTCAATTTCCTGATCCCTTTTATCAATCAAACGTATATTCTCTTCCAAATTACCATCAATGAATAATGAAATATGTTTGACGGCATTACAGGTTTGTTTGAAGACTACTTTAACCTTCATGGGAAACTCTATTTGAATCAGACAATTACCTCGAAAAGAAAACTCTTGCGATTCGCCGATATCGAATACGTTTTTAGGTTCTCCGTATGCGAGAGAACCCACTTTTATTTCTGCTTTGAATCCG